ATCTTATATATATATATATTCTTACCAGAGATCGGTCGTAGGGGACGATCTGCTGGGTAAGATCGGTGAGCCTCCTTCATTGGGTACGTTTGCTGTTCCACTCCGATACTAAAGTTAGTGTTTGTGAGTGTATGAGTTTCGTATAAGTAATGCATGTACTTTTGTGTGAATTAGGATTTCGTTGGGCCTTGGGCCTGAGATCAGTTTATGACCTATTGGAATGTCAAGCTGACGTGGCCTAGCACGTGTCTGAGGTCACTCCGCGCTGAGATGTCGAGCTCGAGCTCGGCATAGCGGTACGGATAGTACATATATATTGTTATATTATTTTTGGACAGTAACATTATCAATTTAATTAATTGAAATTATAGATTGTCATATGGTGAATTTGGTAACAATTATTTTAAAATATATGTTTTAGAGTATTTTTAATCGGTTGAAAGTGTAAATTATCTTCGCATTTTAATTATAAATTCAACCGTTAGATTGAAAGTTTTTTGTTCTTCCATCATATATACAAAATTTTTATATTAATCCAATATGATTTGATACTTCATTCTTATAAAATAAAATTGATGTGATATATACATTTTAAAATATAATAAAATATAAACATTTTGATTACCTTCAAGTTGTTGTTCAATTTTAACAAAATTTGATATAAACATATAAAGTGATATGAAGTTATAATTCAATGGTTAGATTTACAAAATTCATATTTAATATAAAGTTATTAAGTGATGTAATACTTTGAACCCTCCTCATATATATATTTCATTCAATAACTCATATTCTACATCAAATTTCAATGATCCAATCGTTGAATTTAAAATTTTTAATGCATAGATCAAATCTGCAAATTTTAAAAAAAATTTAAAAATCATTTGATACTTCATTTCATTAATTCAAACTGACGGATAATTACAAAATCATTTTATACATTGATTTGAATTAATGAAACAAAGTATCAAAGAATTTTCAAATTTTTTAACAATTTGCATATTTGATCTATGCATTTAAATTCAACAGTTGAATCATTAAAATTTGATGTAAAACATCAGTTATTGAACGGAGTAAGTCTACCTGAAATAAACGGATTCCTCCACACAAATAAACACTAAATCTTAATTTAAAACCTTTCAACATCACATTTTTGAATCTATCTTATATTATTATATGATATTTAACTTACCCATTTTTAATCTAATGTAACACTCCTCATTTTCACATCAAACATAAGTAAAGGTTAACAGCTACGACCTATTAGAAGTACTTTAATTTACCTCACTCTAAATAAACAAGCGAAGACTTAAACCTATTAGATACGATACTCTATCTTGCCCACTCAACTAACACCTTTTCAGATTATAGTGAATTTTCCAAAGTTTGGTGAGACTTCCCCCACTTCATTTTCTTCAGGTTCATTGGCATTAGAGGGTTAATCTTTCAATTTTCACACGCGGACAGCCAGAAAACAGACATTTCACCTTTTTGAAAGCCCTCTAAACTAACCCCTTAGTTTGCTCTTTAAGAAAGTGAACATTTCCCTTCTCCCAAGAGTGATCTTGCTCTCTAAGAGGTGCACCATGGCTCCCCTTTGAGATTGTACAACACCACCACCACCAAGCCAAAAACTAGTGAGAGAGAATAAGATAGCAAATTCATGGAGGTTCAATCTCCTTCAGTGAAACGCCACTATGACATCACCATGTCAAGAAGAACAAGGAAACAGTTTCCACTGCAAGGCAATGATCACAAACCCATATCAGCAATGGATCATGATGCAAAAACAAAGGATGCCACAGTGGAAAAAACTGCTCAAACCATTGCTGAGGTGAAAGGTGGTGGTGAGAGTGATCACAAAAGCTTGAAGCAACTCATCATAGGAGATGATGACCAAGAGGCAAAGAAGGGTGGTAATAGTGATGAGAGAAGCAAAGGATCAAGAAACTCACTTGGTGAACATTTCAGTGAGGATCATCTTCAGCTGGTTCGGATGCAACAGAAGGAAAACCTTCAAGGTTTGAAATTCAAGAAGTTGGTGCGTCGTTATGCAAAGGTTTTGGGGCATCTGATGAAGGCTAAGCGTGACCCTCATTTAGGTGATTCTGCCAAAAAACCTGTTTTCAAGTTATCTGCATAGGAAAATTTTTGGTTTTAATTACTAGATGGTGGTGATTTAATTTGGTTCATCTACTTTCTATGTATTATTATGTGCTTATATTTTGGCCAACAAAATATCTTAAATTTCTCCATCTCATGTTATTCTTATCTTTTGTGTATCCTTATTAATTCATGCATATGGTTTATATTATATAAATATGTATTAATTGTATCATTCAAATATGATCTTAATATGATAGTTTCTAATTAGTACCAATGTACCATAGTATCTTCTTGTAACAATTTCATGCCTCTTTCTCCATTTTGTGGTATAACAAGGGTAATTGGTTTTCAATTCTTTTATGGATTTCCTTCACATAGTTTATGATGAGTTTATGCTCTCTGATATTTGTATGTCAACTTATCTGCTTCAATGGAATGTGAAACTGTCTATTTTTTTAGAAAAAAAGTTTAGCGGTTAGAATGTGAAGGATGATTTGTATTGGATGTGTTTTTCAGCTGCAAAAAACATTTAGGGTGACAATAGAACAATTTAGCAAGACAAGGGAAAATGGGGAGAGATAGACTGATAGACGTTTTTCTATAGAAAATAAGGAGCATAATAGCCAAAACTCAAAATCAATTACCCTATTTTATTTTATTTTTTGGTGAGGACTTTTTTAAGATGTTTGAAATAGTAGATAGAGAATGACACCCTCAAGACTATCGGACAGGAAGCCAATAACATGTTAGAGATTCTCAAATTAAATATCATTGTTCACTTATGTGATTATTTGATATATGGTAGTACCCAATTTGATTCAAGACTTTACTTGTTGAACTGGGAGTCACCATACTTATTAGAGGAACTTCACCTTTGGCGTTAAAGAATTTTCTTGAATAAGTATGACCCAACAAAATGAAATTTTAATGGTCATGGGGGTATTAAACCCATGACGCTAAGGAATTTTCTTGAGTAAATATGATCCACCAAAGTAAAAATTTAATGGTCATAGGAGATATCGATCCTGCGTCATGGAGAATACAAGCTCGGATCGAATCTCAGACCATTTGTACCAATCTAAGATAACTTTATTTTGACAAGGATCAAGTAAAGATTTGGTATTTTGTTATATGAAAATTGAATATAATATGATTGGATAGAAGAATTCACAAAAATTGGTAAATTAAGTTTTCCGACAAAAATTAGTCATCTATAAAATTAATAAATATTTTCTATCAATCAATGACATTGTTATAAAACTAAAATGGATCTATTAAAAAAATAAATAATAGATATAGATATGTTTAAAAAAAAAAAGCATATTCTTTTTTATTTTTAATTTTTTTCTTATTGCAGCGTGGTTCCTAAAATTTAAGGTGCCAATTGTCATTATACCTTTTTTCCCGCACAAACCTTTGTTTTCTTCAAATTATTTACCAAATTGGACACCATTATTTATTTTTGTTTGCATTTCGTGATGTGTAAGTTTATTGGTTTAGTGTGATGATAGGAGCACAAGACTAGAGCCACAAGTGTTATTTGTACAAAAATAATTGAGTGGAAAAAGATCGAAAGTTTAGAAACTAAGACATTTTGATTAATGTTTCCAACCGCCACGAGACTTCAAATGGCCATTTGAGCTACCATCAATTTATAGCTAATGCACGTATAAGTCATGCAACGAAACTGACATTTTGACAGCTAGGTTGGATTTTACGTAGTAACAACTCATGTTTTCTGCGATTTTCCATTTAGATTTATTTATGTGAGAACGACGAAATTTCAGTCATTACATGATTGCATGAAAATACAACCCATTGTCCCAATTATTTGATTATATCGAAAATCACGTATCACAAATACAAATTAATTTTTAATTATAGTTTTAAAATTTTACATGAATTATGTATTTAAAAAGAAAAAAAATACACTTAATTACATTTGCCTCTCCTACGAATATGTTTTTCAATATAAGTAAATGTTTTATGTTTGGAGACATGTTAAATATTCTATATATCAAAGATTCTACATATATAATCATCAATATGTTACGATTCCATGGTTGAATTTGTAAATTTCCTATTTTATAAAAAGTTATTAAAGAGAGTATACATAAAAAATTTACTTAAGGAGCAAATAAAAATACATATGATTAGTTGACACTAAATTTTTAATAAAATGTGAAATTTTCCGATGGAACCATGAAATCATTTAATATGATATTTCTTGTAGTTCGTACAAGAGTAAAATTACTAAAGCTCAAGTTTGAAAAACATTCATAAAAAATATTTGCTACTAATTTTATTAACTAGAAAATGTCACATATATCAATAAAAGATCCACTATATAGTTATTTTTTATTTAAATACAAAATTTTATCTCAAATTTTATTTTAGGTTTCACTTCCAACAACTTGAGGAGAAATAAAGCCATCCACTTATTATAAAGATGGTGCATTTTTTTTTGTGTATATGTATAAAGAGAAAAAACAAATGATTCAAATTAGAACACTTATTAACTTGAGAATATGAAAACAACTAATAATAACTCTTATATTAAAATAAATAATTTAGATTAAACAATTATATATAAAGTTATTACATACTATCACTATTGTACTTTTTTTCTATAATCTATATTGTTGTTAACTTCATCACCTCTACTTCCATCACATGTTCTCCACATCACCACAATCACAATCATTGACGTTGTCACCAATATCAATGTCATCATTATTATTATTGTCATTATTATTATTATTATTATTATTATTATTATTATTATTATTATTATTATTATTATTATTATCATTATCATTGCTACCATCGCTATATATCAACAATGGTGATAATAGTAATAATGAAAACTAGCTATAATGAAAACGGTGGTGACAGTGTCAACAGTGATAGTAATAACGATGATAGTGTTGATAGTGATGACAATGATAAAATAGTAGCGATGTAGTGAAAGTGATGTTGTGACGATTAAAATAACAAAGATAAAAAGTACTACAATGACAATAATATATAATATAATATCTTTTAATTTAAATTATTTATTTTAATATAAAAATTATTATTAATTATTTTTTATTTTTTTATATTAACAAATATTTTCACTTGAGTCATTTTCTTTCTCACTATATATATTACTTATCAGTAAAAAAAAAAAAAGAGAGAACAAGAACCACACTTGTTGAAAGTGAAATCCCACTATTAACTTGATCGTAAGTGAAGAGTAAAATAAAATTTGATGCAAGTTCTAGAAGGCAATGCTTTTTTATGGTTTATATTTGTATCTTACATAATTTTATTAATAATATATTTCATTTATTATGTGTATATTGAAATAAAATGTTTCTTTAATATTATTCTTAGTCAACCAATACAGACAAAAATAATATGTTAAGAATAGCACCACCCCTTCCCCGATAAATTTCAGACTTAAAAATGTAAAAAGTTTTAAGTTTTAAGTTATTTTACCAAAATCATAAATGATTTCAAATTTTAGAAATATAATTTTTTTTATAGAAATCAAAATTAAAAATATAACATAATTTGTTAAAAAAGGAAATCAATTATAAATACACAATACATAAATTTAAATAAATGAAAAAATGTGTAATTAACTGCTCATCAAAACAAACTGTATAAGAAATAACAAATATTTAAATGTTTTCTTGATTTCATATTTGCATTATAATTGCACAAACATTTGAGAGAGAATAAAAATACCAGTTTAAAATTACTTTAACCTATATTACGTACATGAGCCATAAAGTCATGATATAAAATAGTTATAGTTTTATATTGTCAACCGTAAATCAATCAAATATCACTATATCATTATTAGTATGACTTATTTATTATAAAAATAAATAAATTATCCAATATCGGATATTCAATAAGGCAATTAAGGCTAATGTCTAGAATTCCTAAACTTATAAGGCCTCCAAATTCTTTTAATAGTAGTATTATTGATATAAATTAATTTTTAAAAAATATTAATAATATTTGAGATAATGCCCAATATTTTATAAGACACATCTTATATTTTTCTCTCTTATTTTTTTATTATTAAAGTTACTTGAAAGCGTTAAAGTCATAAAGTTTCAAGCACAAAAAGTAAGGGATGCATTTGTTCAATTATCGAAAACTAGTGAAGATCCTAAGATAAAGAGTGAAGCCATGTGTTTAGCGACTTATGAGATGGAGAATTTTGAATTTCTATTAGGAATGAATATTTGGTATGATATACTTTTTGCGGTTAATTCTGTAAGTAAGATTATGCAATCTAAAGATATGCACATAGATGTTGCTATAGATCACTTAAGAGGTCTTATAACTTATTTAAAAATTTAAAGGGAAAATGGTTTTGCATCTGCATTAGAATCCACCAAAGAAATGGCTATTGAAATGGATATAGAGCCCAAGTTTAGTGAAAAACGTAAGATTCATAGGAAAAAACATTTTTATGACATTGATAGTGATGAGATAGCTCATTCTGCTGAAGATTTTTTTCGCATTGATTATTTTTTGTATATATTAAATCAATCTATTTCTTCTATTGAGAGTCGATTTGAACAATTTTTAGAATATGAAAACATGTTTGGTTTTTTATTTGATTCAAATAAATTTAAAACTTTAAGGGAAGATGAATTGAAAAAATATTATATCAATCTTGAAAAGATTTTGAGTTTTGAGGACCATTCTGATATTGATTGTCTTGATTTGTTTTCAAAATTAAAGTTATTGAAAGAAATTCTAACAAATGAAATTAATGCACCATTAAAAATATTGAACTATATAAAAAGATAATGTTCTTTTCCAAATACATACATTGCTTATAAAATATTATTAACATTACTTGTAACTGGTAAAAGAAATTTTTCAAAATTAAAATTAATTAAATCATATTTAAGATCAACTATGCTACAAGATAGATTGAATGTGTTAACTATATTATCTATTGAGAATGAGATGTTAGAATTACTTGATTATAAAACTTTAATAAATAATTTTATAGCTCAAAAAGCCAAAAAAAATAAAATAAAAATTGTACCTGTCTAAGAGCACACTCGTAATCTTCTGGTAACTGAAGGGCCGAACGAGAGCTCCGGGTGGATGCTTCAGAGGAGGGAGGTACCTGCAAAAGGCACTCTGACGCTCAAGTCAGGACAAGCACGATTCTCGAGAGTAATAAATAAACAGTGACATACCTCATTTTATATGACCTATTTATACTACTTGTCATGGGCCCTGAACGTGGTGGGCCTCTTCTAACACTTACCAAATTA